TGGCTTCTGCAGTATGGGGAAAGACTCAGGACAGGGATCCTGACGGCTGACCCTTCAGCTCTCTCCCCAGAGCCTCCAACCCCAAATTCTCCTCATGTAGCTCTAATCTACTCTGCTGGAGCCTAGGGTAAGTGGATGCAAACAAAATTCTGTGCATTGGCCCTCTAAGAGACTCTCTGTGTTGCTAACCATCTCCCTTGGTGTACAGAAACCCCACCTCTTTTCACAGTCAGATGCTATTTTGGTTCCTTTCTTGGTTCTGGTGATCTAGGCTGGGGAGTCCATCTTGGGGTGTAGACCCCACACTTCTCAGGCAGAACACCCTGGCCACTGAAATATCCCTCCAACGCCTCTCATACCTCCATACTTCCTACCAGTCTCGTTGTGGTGATGTGTTTTTTTCCCTAAGTCCTTGGTTATAAGGCTTCTCTCCAGCTAGTGTTCAGTTCATTATTCAGGATGATTTTTTCTATAATTTAGTTGTAATTCCAGTTTGATCCTGAGGGGAGGTTAGTGTAGCTTCCACCTATGTCACTGCCAACTTGGATCTCCCAGAATATATTTAAAGTGTACAATTTAGTAAGTTATAGCATACATGTACACCTAGAAAACCATCTCTACTAAAAAGATAATTTAACATATTCACTATCCAGAAAACTTTTCTGGTGACCTTTGGTAATTTCTCCCTTTTACCCTTCCTTCTTCCCAGGCAACCACACATCTACATTCTGTCTTTTTAGCTGAGTTTGCATTTGCCATAACTTTATATAAGTAGAGCCACACAATGTGTAACCCTTCTGTGTGTGGCTCCTTTCACTCAACATAATTAATTTGATATTCAACTACATTTCTTTTTTTTTAAGATTTTATTTATTTTAGACAGAAGGGAAGGGAGAGAGAAAGATGAAGAGAGAAACATCAATGTGTGGTTGCCTCTCATGCACCCCCTACTGGGGAACTGGCCCACTACCCAGCCATGTGCCCTGACTGGAAATTGGACCCTTGACCCTTTGGTTCTCAGGCCAGTGCTCAATCCATTGGGTCACACTGGCCAGAGCTCTATTCTTTTTTAAAAACTATATTTTATTGATTATGCTATTACAGTTTTCCTGATTTTTCCACCTTTGCCTCTCTCCATCCAACACCCCCTACTCCCTCAGGCAATCCCCCCACCATTGTTCATGTCCATGGGTCATGCATACAAATTCTTTGGCTACGCTATTTCCTGTATTGTACTTTACATCTCCATGGCTATTCTGAAACTACCTATTTGTACTTCCTAATCCCCTCACCTCCTCACCCATAACACCACACTGCCCCCATCTGGCAACCTTTAAAATGCTCTCTGTATCCATGATTTTGTCTCTGTTCTTCTTGTTGGCTTAGTTTGTTTTTTAGATTCAATTGTTAATGGATTCATATTTATTGCCATTTTAGTTCATAGTTTTGACCTTCTTATTTTCTTAAATAAGTCTCTTTAATATTTCATATAATAATGGTTTGGTGATGATGAACTCCTTCAGTTTTCTTCTTGTCTGGGAAGCTCTTTGTCTGCCCTTCAATTCTAAATGAATGCTTTCCTGGGTAGAGCAATCTTGGCTGTAGGTCCGTGCTTTTCATGACTTTGAATATTATTGCCAATCCCTTTTAGCCCCCAAAATTTCTTTTCAGAAACCAGCTGACAGTCTTATGGGAACTCACCTGTAGATAACTAACTTCTTTTCTCTTACTGCTTTTAAGATTGTCTCTTTATCTTTAACCTTCGGCATTTTAATTTGCTGTGTCTTAGAGTGGGTCTCTTTCCATCCCTCTTGTTTGGGACTCTCTGTGCTTCCCGGACTTGTATGTCTATTTCCTTCACCAAATTAGAGTTTTCTTTCATTACTTTTTCAAATAGTTTTTCAATTTCTTGCTCTTTCTATTCTCCTCTGTCACCCCTATGATGTGAATGCTGGACCTCTTCAAGTGTTGCAGTTGTTCCTCATTCTTCTTGATTTTTTCTTTTTAAAATTTTTTTCACATTTTTTATTGTTGTTTATATCCCAATTTTTTTGGATTCTTTTTTCTTCTTGTTGTTCTGATTGGTTGTTTTTTTCTTACGTTCCAAATCATTAATTAGATTCTTAGCTTCATTCACTCTACTGTTATTTCCCTGTCAATGGTTCTTTATTTCAATTAGTGAATTCTTCATTTCTGACTGGATCTTTTTTATCTTATCTCAATTTTGTATAGTTCTTTCTCTGGAGTTTTGATCTGTTCTTTCACTTGGGTCATGTTTCTTTGTCTCCTCATTTTGGCAGCCTCCCTGTGTTTGTTTCTATATAGTAGAGCTGCTTTGACTCTGTGTCTTGGTAGCATGGCCTAATGTAGTTTGTGTCCTACAGGGTCTAGTGGCCCAGCCTCCACTATCACCCAAGCTGGGTATTCGAGGAGTGCCCTTCATGTGGAATGAGTATACTCTCCTCTTGTAGTTGAATCTTGATTGCTGTTGGTAAATCAATGGGAGGGATTTACCCAGGCCAGTCAGCTGCAAGGATTGGCTGTGACCATTGACCACCAACCTCTGCCCTCCATGAAGGACTAGCTATGAAGGGGCAGGGTGGTGGTACTCTGATGTGGTCTGTATCTGTCCACCGGGTTTTCTGGCCCTGGGGCTACCTGGGTGGTGCAGGCCAAGGTCGGCCCCCACCTGTGTCTTGCCTGAGGTCACTCCTCCTGACCTGGAAAGTTCCATGAGAGGGCTACTATTTGTGGTATGCTTAGAGATTCCCAGGTGAAGCCAAGCAGTGAAACTAATCTGGCTGTTGCTAGTGCCTGGCCTGGAGCTCACTGAGTACAGCTATTGCTTGTTTGATAGGATTTAGGAAGTTATGAAAAAGCAGCTTGGGTGGGCTGGAGTCTCTGCAGATCTCCAAGGCAGGTCAAACAGTGTTTAGCCGGGTTGATGGCTAACATCAACCTGGTTGATGGAGTCTCAAATATGGCACCAGCTTGCTGGTTCCATGGCTCTGCATGGGGAGTGATCAGCAAAGGGACAATGACCTCTGCTCATTTTGCTGCCATACACTTCAGCCTCTCCCAGTATGCCCCTTGTGCCCTTCAAGTTACCACCCTGGTGCTAGAGCTCACAGGGAGTGAGTCTGCATAGGTGAGTCCGTGTGTGGTTTCTTTAAAAGGAACTGTTTGGGGCTCCAGAAGTTTCTTCTACCAACTCAATCCTTGCTGGTTTTGCTGCCAGAAGTTGTGGGGACTTATCTTCCTGGCACTGAAATTTTGGGCTGGGGAGCCTGGTATGGCACTGAAACTCCTTGCTCCTGATATATCCCTCCCAAATTTTTATCTACCACATGTGGGTGAGAGACCAGCTCATTTTGTGTCTGTGCCCCTCCTACCTGTTTTCATGGATGTGGTTTCTTTAATTCTGTAGTTGTCAGACTTCCATTCAGCTTGATTTCTGATGGTTCTGAGTGGTGGTGGTTCTATATTTTAGTTATAATTTTGATGTGGTTGTGTGAAAATGCAAGCCATGTCTGCTTATGCTGCCATCTTGACCAGAAGCCCCCCATTTCACTTTTTAGTACCCCTGCCTCCACCCCAAGTTTCTACATAGGAGGAAGTATAAGCTTTTTAAAATGTAAATTGGATCATGTCACTCTTCTTCAATGGACTCAGATTTTCCTTGACATGATCTATAAGGGACTACATGATCAGACCTTGCCTATATCTCTTACCTCACTTTACAACATTCATTACTCCAAGAGCACAAACCTCCTTCCAGTTTTTCAAAATTTTCAACTTCCCTTCTACATCAGGATCTCTCTCTCCCCAAGAGACAATAAGCTCCATGAGGGCAAGGATGTTGGTCTATTTTTCACCTCTACAAAAGCAACCAGAACGGTGGCTATCTGTACATGTAAAATATTGCTAGATCAATGTAGTCAAGAGTTATTTAAAGCCTGAGCTAAAAGCTAGATGTAAGAATTGGACATAGAAAAACTTAAAAATGAATAATGAATAAGATTTGGTGAATTATTTGACTTAAAATTAAAAACAGAGAAGTATCAGATATGACTAAAGCCTCCCCATACAAAGCTAAGAAAAAAATAAAACATTGGGAACTCACCAAACACAGGAGCTGACAGGAGTCGGACAGTATGGAGAGGTTCAGGATGTAGAGAGAGGGATTTGGGTAGAAATGGTGTATTCATTTGCAAAGGCAATATATAAAATGTTCAAGGCTATGGTGGACCATCAGAGAGAAAATACTGATTGGGAAATTTGAAAGTGTGGAATTGAAGCTTGCTGAGGTAGAAGTGGGTATTCCTCAAAAGGTAGATAGTAAAGAAAAGTGGACAATAATGACAGAATTTTAAGGAATGCCCCATTTACATAGTTCAGGGAAAATATGAAGCAAACAATTGAGCAAAGAATGACCTGAATGGTAGGAAAAAAATGGGATATAATGTGTTACAGAAGGCAAGAGAAAGTTTTTGCAAGCGGTCACCCAATGAAGGAAAGTGAAATGCCTTATAGAAATAAAAGCAAACTGAATAGTGTTTAGAAGGATAAAAGTGATATCTTTGGCAACCTTGAAAACTTGGGGGCAGGGGTTTATTAGGGTTTAGAAGCAAAATGCTTATGTCCTAGGAAATGAGGAGTAGCATTTTCATCTGTACAAGAGGATGGTACACAACCCTATATTAACCCCTAAGCTTCCTCTTGTCTTCACAGCCCTGAAGCCCATGGATCTACATGCCATGTATCAGACAGAATTCCCGATGGCAGTGGAGACCACTGGGAACATAGTGCTACACTGGTGGGCCCACAGCTAGCCCCTGCACTCTCTCCGCACTCCAGTGGCCTCCCTGTATTTTGTGGTCTGGGAGCTGGGGGGCCTGGCCGGGTCCCCCACACCATGGTGGTGCTAGGGCTGGACACCTACTTCACCTACCTTCCCTCCATCCATCTTTGTGTGATGACTGGCAGGAATCCTGTTAGCAATGGCTGCACTGCTGGCCTGGGAGCCCCACACTCTTGTGGTCATCAAACTGGCCAACACTGGCTACAAGTCCGTGTATGGATGGCAGTGACTGGTTCACCCTTCAGATGAACCGACTCCTCCGAGCTGCCTTTGCTAACCTCCGTGTGGCCATTGTGGATACCTGGGAAGTGACCTCCAGGCTGGCACTGCCGGACAGGATCCACCCAGGGCAGCTCATTGTCTGCAATAAGGTGGACTTCCTCCTCTCCTTCATCTGCCCCACCTGAGCACTCCTGTGGTTTCTGGGGCTTTGTGGATGGGAACATAGGAATTGTGAAGGGGACCACAGCAGTAATGGGACCCTGAACTAACAATGATCCAGAGAAGAGTGGTTACCCTGAGAGTTACCCCCCAGGGTTAATTACTGGTAATTTTTTGGAGGCCATCCTTGCATACAGTTGTCTATATACATAAAACATATGTGTGTAATTTTAGACATATGAAATCTTTTATATGCCTTCTTTTAATTACCAAATTTTTATTGGTGTAATTGTAGATTATACAGTTGTAGGTAATAATACAGAAATCTCTCATACTCAGTTTCTCCCTTTGGTAACATCTTGCAAAACTATATTACAGTACAGTATCCCATGCAAGATATTAAGATTGATACAATTCACCAATCTTAGACATTTCCCTAGTTTTATTGTACTAATTTGTGTGCGTATGTCTTTAGTTTTATGCAAGTTTGTTGTATGTATTGTTTTGTGTCTAATTCTTTAGCATCTGTATTGTAGCCTTACAAAGGAAAGAAGACAAGGTCAAAGGTTTGTCCAAAGTGGCAAGTCTAATAAACTAAACTAGAATCTCAATGGATTCTACTCTCGGGCTAAAGGGAATAGAGAAACAGAATCTCGGATCTTTTCACTTCGAAATCCACTTTCCCTCTAATCAACAACTATTGTCACCAATGTGAATAAGAGCCTGTTTGAGGGTAAGTCCTATGAACAATGTTTAATCCTTACCTTTTGATTTTTTTCTGCATCATGAGCCTTTTCTTCCTTGTTAAAACCATCTCTTCTCTTGCCTTTCATAATGTTAGATCCTTCAATTCAAACATGAGTAACTTGAAAAATGAGATCCATCAGAATCCATTTTGCTGGTGAGGATGGTACCAGAGGCACCTAGTTTTCAACATTGGTGGTAGTTGCAAGATCAGGCTCCTAGCACAGAAATGGCATCCTTGGTACAGTGTAAAGCAAAACAGGAATTTCTCCTAGAAGTTCTGCTCAGTTGGGCAGCAGCAGTGCTGATGGTATAAAGTACAGTTCCTGGAAGTCTAGCATTCAGGCCTGCTTCTCCAGTTTCCCAGCAGCATGTGGGATACTCAAGATCCTTTTATTAATACCTTTTTTACTCTTTAATCATCCAGAATTAGCATCTATTTCTTGAAAGCAAAAACTTGGATTAATCAGACCATGTGATTATGTACCTGGCAATTACAGGTTCGTATGTTAAGTGCTGTCATAGAAGGGAGCTATGAGAATATGCAAGACAGGCATATAACCCAGTCTTTGGGATCTAGGAAAGAATTCCACAAAGGTGAGATACATGAGGTGGGTTTAGAAAGAAGGCTGTAGATTAGCTAAGCAAGAGTGTCAGAAGGGCATTCCAGGCTGAGAAATAGGGATATGCAAAACGCACATTTCTGAGTTTGGAATAGGCTGAGGCAAGAGGTCAAATAACAGAATCAAACAAGAAGATTCCTGAGGACTTCATATACCATGCTAAAAGTTGTTTCTTGGACTAGTAGCAGGGTTAGGGCCCAAGCCTTTCAGTATGTACACCAGGATAAGGTAGATGCCTGAAATTACCTGGCTGCGGTTGTTGATGAGTACTTATTTTGTATTCAGCACCCAGCCTTGCCTGAACACTCAGGGACCAGTAAGCTGAAAGTAACCATAGCCCGTGATGGAACCTACTGACCTGGAAAGAAAACAGCAAGCCAAACCCTTACCTTGCAATCCCCTGAGCCCAACTTTCTTCCCTTAGTCCTCCAACTGTGACCCTACTCAGCCAAACTCCCATTCTCCTCAGGAAACTTGTTATCTCAGGTTCTCCCTCAAACAACTCTACTCCCTTCCCTGTGGTTTCTACAATTAACAGAAAGTTCTTCTCCAAAGTTGTGTCTTACTGTACTGGGAAAGAAAACATTTTATGCCCTTAGCATTGACCTTGCTGCTAGAAAACCTAAGGCTAAATTTATTGCTCCCATGGAGCAACTTCTAAGCAATGAGTTTAATTACTGGTTTATCTACCTTTGCCAGTAGTTAAACTATTGTCTCTCAGCTCCAGAAATACCCTTCTATGATCTACTCTGTAAATCTGGAGTTGGAACTCTACAAACATTTCTGTTCTATCTGCTGGTTTGCTACTAGGATCTTTCAGTAGAGGATTCTAGAGTGAGGACTGCAAGTCTGGAGGAAATAGAAGGGATTCTATTCCTTGCTATTGCTGTTTGTCTCCTGTTCTCATCAGCTGCAGCAACCTTCACACTGGCAACATCTGTTCCTTCTAGGAGCAGAAGCTGAATTCAGTTGGTGTTTTTCCTCACACCTGTGGAACCAGTTGAACAATTTCCCTCCCTGAGGTATGAGTTTTTCTCCACAGAGTCCTCTCCTAAGTTGTCATCATTCTAACATCTTCGTTTTGCTCCTTCTGCCCCAAGGGTGGGAGCTGCTTCCCAAAGTTGCAACCTACATGACACCTTAGTGTTCTTTTTCTGCTTTTTCAATTACATGTGAACAAATTTGTATACTCAGTTAACACTTCTTTACGTTAAATTCTCTTCATTGAAATCTCGTGTGATTTCTGTTCTTTCCAGACCCTAACGGTATACTATCTTCTCTGTTTTCTGAGTTTTCCTTTTTGTAAATCAATCTTTATCTTGTCTAATCAAAAAGTTATATGATGCATTTTGAAATAATGGGATAGAAATAATGTTTTCCTACATAAACTGGGTTTCAAAGTTTCTCTTTTCCCCCAGCCTCTCACTCATTTCAACAGCCATACCATTTGGAATCCTCCCAACCTCCAGCTTGAGCTCCATCTCCTCTTAGTGCTCAGTGTTACAGAAAAGACAATGACAATTGAAGCTCAGGAAAAAAGAACTCAGTCTCCAAGCAAAAATGCAATATACAGTCTCATATACACATTTCCCCCACCTGCTTAGGTATGGACTTCAAGTCTAGTTTCTCTCCAGAAAGGAGATATATATCGCTCTCTCCTCAGAACATTGCTTTGTTCTACAGACTACAGACATCAGTAGAAAAGGCTTTCTGGTATGTGGGAAGAGGAAGTAATTATTCTTTCTCTGAGGGTTTGGACCATACTGTTCTTCAGTGATTAAGCTTCTCTAGCCTACAGCCTTAGTCCCACATTTTTTCTTTGCTTTTGTGTTCTCTGCCTCTAAGTTAATTCTGCTAAGAAGTGTGGTTCTCTCTTTCTTACTGCAACTGCCCTTTCTCCATATTTGACCTCATTCTGGGCACCTGAGTGGCTGCATCATCCATGTGTTTGCAGATGCTGTGCTTTGGCAGTAGTTGAAGTATCAACAGGACCCCCTGATATGCTATAAAGAGAAAAATAAAGACTTTGGGGACTTTGTAGAAGATTGAGAGAAAGAACACGAAGAGTTGAAAGGTATCCTGCCATTAGGTAAGAGGGTTTAGGTTTCAGAAAGAAAATGAGAGCAGGGGAAGTGGACAGATGGGCAGATTCAGGTTTAGGAAACAGTGTATTTAGTCTATTTATCAAGCAACCAGTATGAATTAGTCACAATGTGAGCAAATTACTGTCCTTAGTGTTTTGGGATACAAAGAAGGGCACAAGATATCGTGCCCGAAGCCCATGTGTCCTATATAAGTAGTCCTCTGGACTCTCCTGGGCTTTGTTTCAGGGCCACCTGATCCTTCTTCAGACCTGTTCTACTTAAACATGTCACCAGCCACCAAAACAGTACCTAGGAGTATGCCTGTCTTTGCCCCATTTAATCTTGCCTTTCTCTGGGGTCTAGCTTAAAAGGAAGAGGAAGATAATTTCTCCATGAAAGTATACTTTTTAGATTGGTAGAAATGGAGTGTGATAAGCCCAGTACCTTCTTCTCAGTGTTTTCTATGGAAATGAGATGTCCACTGAGAATATATGTTCTTGATTGCACTCTGCTGTCTTTTCATTGGTGAATTTAACTGGTTTACATTTCTTTCAATGACAGTGTATAAAGTAGGACTTGTTTCTTCCAACTTAGTTCAAATTCCCCATTTACTGTAATTTTTTTTCTTCCCTGGTTTCCAATGAATGAATCAATTTTTTTCTGATGATTTGAAAATTTTTCATTCTATTTTTAGTTTTATATTCATTAATTATACTTATATTTACTTAATCGTTTTCTTAAAGCTATCAATAGCTGTATATTCACTCCTAAACAATACAGATGCCCTCATGTCCCTTAATCATACCCCATGCACCGCCTCCATTATGTTGCCATTGTCCAGAATTTAGTTATGAGTTATATGAATATATGCATCATTTTCTTTAATATTTGTTTCTTCTCCTTTTTATTGAGATGTGATTTTTATATATAGCCAAATTCACAGTGTATACTATATTTTGCTGTGTATAATGAGTTCCCATGTATAATGCACACCCATGTTTTTGGCCCAAACTTTCAGGAAAATAGTTGTTTCAATTTTTAAATTCAATTGTTTATTTATTTACATTTAGAAACAAAACCAATTCTCATATTCTAGGGTATTATTTTGCATATAGATATCATTATTGCTTTCTAGAGTTACACTTTTTTTTTCCTTCTGTTCTGATTGAATGCTTTTTTCTTCCTTGTGTTCCAAATTGTTGATTTCATTCTTAGCTTTGTCCCCTCCACTGCTGGTTCCCAGTAGGTTTTTCTTTATTTCACTTAATGTAACACTCATTTCTGCCTGGGTCTTTTTTATGCTGTTGAAGTACTTGATGAGTTCCTGGAGAATCCTGATTACCAGTATTTTGAACTCTGCTTCTAAGAGGTTGCTTAACTA